GTGGCGAACAACTGGTGGTGAGATGCAGGTATTGAGACTAGGCCCGAAAAAAGGCTGTTCTCTCTGGTGTAGACCAATCAGTTTAAAAGGCAATGCCACATATTATCAGAGCATGTTGTTGTTTGCATGTTCACCACCAGTATATGTTTTATTTCCAGAAAGGTTGCAGCCTATTGTTATGCTGTTAAACGCTCCACCACTGAGCTGCTATGTAACTCTTCTTGTTCAAAAGCGACCTGGCCATCTCAAATCATTGCTCAACGAAGTGACCCTTATCATTACCACCGTGTGGAAATGTATAGCGGATGCCAATTGCTCTCAATGTGTGGTGACGTTGATTATAAATGTGGAAGGAAAAAAAACGGAGGACCAGAAGAAAAATCCACGCAACCACGGAGAGAGATAGAGACGCAAACTCCAAATATACAGCAGGCGTCAGGGTCGCTATCCAACCCACGACCTTCTGTATACCAGGCGAGGGAGTTAACATCTCCTGGCCACTGCAGCCGACGTCATTGTGAGTGGATTAGCCAAAGTTTGCTACATGCGGCGTGAAATAACTTTAACACGTACACAGAGACCCAGATCCTGAGATACCCAGAGAGACCCACAGACACCCAGACCAATAAAGACCCACACAGATCCTTAGACACCTACAGAGACCCCCAGAAACCCGTAACACAAAACCTTAACTGACTGTCTGTGTCTTGTGGTGGTGGCAGGTTAGAAATTTATACTCATGCCTTCTAACCCAACAAAAACCTCTGTGGATGTCTAATGGTGTCTCTTTGGGTGCCTCTGTGGGTCTCAATAGGAGTGGTTCTCTGTGGGTCTCTATGGGTGTCTCTGTGGGTTTCTGTGGGTGTCTCTTTGGGTCTCTGTGGGTCTCTATGGGTTTCTCTGTGGGTTTCTATGGGTGTCTCTGTGGGTCTCTGTGGGTATCTATGGGTGTCTCTTTGGGTCTGTGTGGGTATCTCTGTATCTCTGTGAGCCTCACAGGGATGTAGTTGTTGTTTTCGTCGTCGTAGCTGTCGTTGTTGCCGCCCCGGGGTTTGACGACCTTGTCCACAGTGTAGAACCATACTTGTTTCATGGCCGCCAGCTCCAGCTTCTGGCGATGACTCAGCAGGGGCCCAAAGAGATCCAGGATCTCTGCACACGTGACAACAACAACTTAAACTTTGAACTATTTCTGTTTTTTTTTACATGCCAGGTAAGAGCTACATCGTCATCCTCATCAACATATTCACGTGGAGACTCATCACTTAACTCAGACCCACAGAGACCCACAGAAACCCATACTCATATCGAACCATAGAGACCCACAGAGACCCATAGAGACCCATACTTATATAGATCCATAAAGACCCACAGAGATCCATGCTCATATCGAACAATAAACACCCACAGGGACCCATTGTAAAACTAACTATATGTGTGTATATATTTTCTTATTTTGGCTGGTAAGGCCCCACCGAAGTGGCTGATATCATCATCTTCATCACGTGGAAATATATCGCAGCAGCCAAATACTATATACCCATGTAACATGGCCACCATGACAACCCCAATCTAATATGGCTGACGTGACATCCCCCATGTAACATGGCCATCAGCACAGCCCTCATGCAACATGGCCGCAATAAAGTCCCCCTTGCAACATGGCCGAAGTTACATCCCTCATGCAACAATGCTGCCGTGACATCCCCCATGTCACATGGCCACCATGACAACCCCCATGCAACATGGCCGCTGTGATATCCCTCATGCAACGTGGCCATCCTATAGACTGCCATGCATCATGGCCACCGTGAAATCCCCCACGTAACATGTCCAGAGTGACGTCCCCCATGCAACATGGCCATAGTAATATACCCCATGCAACATGGCTGCCGTGACATCCCCCATGCAAAATGGCCACAATGAAGTCCGCCGTGCAACATGGCTGCCATAAAGTCCCCTAAGCAACATGGCCACCGTGAAGTCCCCCATGCAAAATGGCGGTAGTGACTTCCCCCCATTTACCGATGGACATGTTTGCTCACTGCTGTTCTCACCTCGAGGCGATTTAGTGCGGATAGGGCCGGTGCCGGCTGCTGACAGCGCGCTCCACGTGTTTGTCAGAGACTCCCTCCCTCCTTCTCGCTCCAGCTTGGCTCGTCTACACGGATATACACACACAAAAAAACAATATTGGAGTAGGCTCCTCTACACACACAGACTTCAAATAAACAGTAGGCTTCAGGGTCGGGGTCGAACCCACGACCTCCTGTATACCAAGTGAGGTTGTTAACATCTCGCCACCGTGTTGCCACAGAGTAGTGTACAGGCATCACACACACTCACAACATCTCGCGGAGGATCGTTCCACGGTTCGGTTCGCAAGTGCGAGTTGTAAGTCGATGTTAAACAAATATATATTTCATGGAAGCTCGTTCGTAAGTGTGGATGGTGTTTGTAAGTGTGGGTGGTGTTCATAAGTGTGGGTGGTGTTTGTAAGTGCTAGTGGTGTTCGTAAGTGCTAGTGGTGTTCGTAAGTGCTGGTGGCATTAGTAAGTCGAGTGTAGGGGCCCATGCGTACCTCCATGGTTCCATACTCTTTGGTTCTATTCGGTAAAGTCACGTAAAAGTATAAAACAATAAAAATTCAAAATTAAAATAAAAAATTCACGACGGTTTCGGCCACAACACAAGTGGCCTTCATCAGGTGAAGGGACCAGACTGTCTCGAGGACAGCGCTGGAGTGAACACAGCCAAGCTCAGACCGCGACCTTTAAGCTTGTGTGAGAGGAATAAAGGTGCCTTGACAAAGGAATTAGCATAAAAATTTGCATTTAATTGGCGGACTTAGCATGATGAACGGTGTAGAGGGGTTGAACATGTGCAGACCGGCAAGGGGTGGAGAGGGAGCTTACATATTGATGGTGTGAAAAGGGAATTTAAGCAGCTGCGAAAGTTTGGGATACCACTACTTGAAAAAATATACTGTACCATTGAAAATAAGTTTATTGTTTGGTTCGATTTAGAACATCTTTCCAATGGTTGCTTAATTTGAAACCATCTTCTCGGTTGAAATTGTGGCTGTGTTTGTAAATCTGAATTGTCTCGTGAACAAAGAACCTTGGTATCAGAGAAAATTATATCGTGATCACCCACAGCGTTGTAACAGTGATCAGCTACGGCAGAAGAATTCGTTCTGCCGTGTTATAAATCTGATTTGTGCTCGCGAATCGGTCATAGACATGTCGTTTCGTCTCCCCGATATAGCAGTCACCACAGGTGCAGATCAATCTGTAAACTCCGGGGTACTGTAAGTCAGGAATGACATCCTTCACGGAAGGGATTCAGGTAACGGATTTTGTGTACTGTATTGAACCCGGACCAGGATCTTGTATTTGTTTAGAATTTTGGAGATCTTTTTAGTAACGCCTGCTATATATGGCAGTGTGATGGTTTTGATCGGAGTATCAAGCTTTCACACTCACTTCTGCTGCTGTATCTTCGCTGAATTCTCATAGATCTGATTTGCCTCGTGAACAAATCTCTGAGATTTGTTCACGAGACAATTCAGATCTACAAACACAGACACAATTTCAACCGAGAAGATGGTTTCAAATTAAGCAAACCATTGGAAAGATGTTCTAAATCGAACCAAACATTAAACTAATTTTCAATGGTACAGTATATTTTTCAAGTAGTGGTACCCCAAACTTTCGCAGCTCTTAAAAATTCCCTTTTCACACCATCAATAGGTAAACTCCCCCCCCCCCCCCGCGCCAACCGGCATGTGCACCCGCACGTACACCGCCTCTATGCTAAGTCGGCCAATCAAATGCTAATTTTTATGCTAATTCCTTTGTCAAGGCACCTTGTTTCCTCGCACACAGCTTAAAGGTCGCGGTATGAGCGTGGCTGTGTTTCACTCCAGCGCTGTCCTCGAGACAGCCTGATCCCTTTACCTGATGAATGCCGCTTGTGTTGTGGCCAAAACGTCGTGATTTTTGTTGTTTTATTTTTTACCTACGTGACTTTACCGAATAGAACCAAAGAGTATGGATCCTTGCAGTCACGAAAGCTTTAAATCTAGAATCTGTGTTGTGAGTTCGTGGTGAGGATGGGGGTTTGTGGTGAGGATGGTGGGTTCCTGGTGCAGGGATGTGGGACAGTGGTGAGGATGTGAGTTCGTGTTGTGACTCTTTACACCATCTCGACCCCCCCTCCCACTCCCCCACCCACAGCTTACACACAGAGACCTTGGGGACTGCTGCGTGAGCAAAGCCACTCTGAGCATTAACACCATGGAGGTACGCATGGGCCCCTACACTCGACTTACCAACACCACCCGCACTTTGGAACACCACCCATACTTACGAACACCACCCACACTTACGAACACCACCCACACTTACGAACACCACCCACACTTACGAACACCACCACACTTACGAACACCACCCACACTTACGAACACCACCCACACTTACTAACACCACCCAAACTTTTAAACATCACTCTCCACCTACGAAGATCACCCTCACTTACGATCACGACCCTCACTTACGAACACCACCAGCACTTATGAACGAGCTTCCATGAAATATATATTTGTTTAACATCGACTTACACTCGCACTTGCGAACCGAACCGTGGGAACGATCCTCCGCGAGATGTAGTGAGTGTTTGTGATGCCTGTACACTACTCTGTGGCACCATGGTTGCGAGATGTTAACATACTCTTTGGTTCTATTGGGTAAAGTCACGTAGGTGAAAATAAAATAACAAAAAATCACGACGTTTCGGCCACAACACAAGCGGCCTTCCATCAGGTGAAGGGACGAGACTGGCTTCCAGACAGTTATTGCTCCAGGACAGTCATGAAAGCTTTAAATCTAGAAGAGATGTTAACAACCTCACTTGGTATACAGGAGGTCGTGGGTTCGACCCCGACCCTGAGGCCTACTGTTTATTTGAAGTTTGTGTGTGTAGAGGAGCCTACTCTCAATATTGTTTTTGTGTGTGTATGTGCGTGTAGACGAGCCAAGCTGGAGCGAGAAGGAGGGAGGGAGTCTCTGACAACACGTGGAGCGCGCTGTCAGCAGCCGGCACCGGCCCTATCTGCAGTAAATCGCCTCGAGGTGAGAACAGCAGTGAGCAAACATGTCCATCGGTGAATGGGGGGAAGTCACTACCGCCATTTTGCATGGGGGACTTCACAGTGGCCATGTTGCTTAGGGGACTTTATGGCAGCCATGTTGCACGGGTGACTTCATTGTTGCAATTTTGCATGGGGGATGTCACGGCAGCCATGTTGCATGGGGTACATTACTATGGCCATGTTGCATGGGGGACGTCATTCTGGACATGCTACGTGGGGGATTTCACGGTGGCCATGATGCATGGCAGTCTATAGGATGGCCACGTTGCATGAGGGATATCACAGTGGCCATGTTGCATGGGGGTTGTCATGGTGGCCATGTGACATGGGGGATGTAACGGCAGCAATGTTGCGTGAGGGATGTAACTTCGGCCATGTTGCAAGGGGGACTTTATTGCGGCCATGTTGCATGAGGGCTGTCCTAATGGCCATGTTGCATGGGGGATGTCACGTCAGCCATATTGGATGGGGGTTGTCATGGTGGCCATGTTACATGTGTATACAGTATTTGGCTGTCGCGATATATTTCCACGTGATGAAGATGATGATATCAGCCACTTCGGTGGGGCTTTACCAGCCAAAATAAAAAATATATACATATATATTCTTAGTTTTTTCGGTAAAGTCACGTTGAAGGGAAACAACAAAATAATAAAATATATATAAAACAATAAAAAAAATTCTCACGACGTTTCGACCATAACTCAAACGGTCGTCTTCAGGTGTGTTGGTTTGCATAAATTTATTTTTAAACGGCGCATTTATTTATTTATAAAAAAACATTAGCGCCACGCGCAACGATTTGGCAGTTTATTTAGGACTAGTCCATCTATATTCTGAAAAGAGGAGGGGGGAGACGAAATTTTTATAATGTATGCTGTCTGAAAGCCACTGTAAGCATGAACAATCAATTAAGACCTGAAATGGTTTATCAAATCTTTCCAATGATTGCTAAGATAGCAATCGAGAAGATGGATTCTATCTTAGCAATCATTGGAAAGATTTGATAAACCATTTCAGGTCTTAATTGATTGTTCACGCTTACAGTGGCTTTCAGACAGCATACATTATAAAAAATTTCGTGTCCCCCCTCCTCTTTTCAGAATATAGATGGACTAGTCCTAAATAAACTGCCAAATCGTTGCGCGTGGCGCTAACGTTTTTTTAAAATAAATAAATGCGCCGTTTAAAAATAAATTTATGCAAACCAACACACCTGAAGACGACCGTTTGAGTTATGGTCGAAACGTCGTGAGAATTTTTTATTGTTTTATATATATTTTATTATTTTGTTGTTTCCCTTCAACGTGACTTTACCAAAAAAACTAAGAATATGAATTACTGCAGTCACGAAAGCTTTAAATCAAAATTTATATACATATAGTTTAGTTTTACGATGGGTCCCTGTGGGTGTTTATTGTTCGATATGAGCATGGATCTCTGTGGGTCTCTATGGATCTATATAAGTATGGGTCTCTATGGGTCTCTATGGTTCGATACTTGTATGGGTCTCTATGGGTCTCTGTGGGTCTCTATGGTTCAATACGAGTTTGGGTTTCTGTGGGTCTCTGTGGGTCTGAGTTGAGTTATGAGTCTCCACGTGAAGATGATGATGAGGATGACGATGTAGCTCTTACCTGGAATGTAAAAGAAACAGAAATAGTTCAAAGTTTAAGTTGTTGTTGCTGGCACGTGTGCAGAGATCCTGGATCTCTTCGGGCCCCAGCTGAGTCATCGCCAGAAGCTCGAGCTGGCGGCCATGAAACAAGTATGGTTCTTCACTGTGGACAAGGTCGGCAAACCCCGGGGCGGCAACAACAACGACAGCTACGACGACGAAAACAACAACTACATCCCTGTGAGGCTCACAGAGATACAGAGATACCCATAGAGACCCACAGAGCCACACATAGAGACACCCACAGAGACCCACAGAGACACCCATAGAGAACCATAGAGACCCAAAAAGACACCCACAGAGACCCACAGAGACACCCACAGAGACCCACAGAGACCCAAAGAGACACCCACAGAGACCCACAGAGACACCCACAGAGACCCACTCCTATTGAGACCCACAGAAGCACCCAAAGAGACACCATTAGACACCCACAGAGGTTTTTGTTGGGTTAGAAGGCATGAGTATAAATGTGTAACCTGCCACCACCACCAGACACAGACAGTCAGTTAAGGTTTTGTGTTACGGGTTTCTGGGGGTCTCTGTGGTTGTCTAGGGATCTGTGTGGGTCTTTATTGGTCTGGGTGTCTGTGGGTCTCTCTGAGTATCTCAAGATCTGGGTCTCTGTGTATGTGTTAAAGTTATTTCACGCCATGTGTAGCAAACTTTGGCTAATTCTCTCACAACGACGTCGGCAGCAATGGCCAGGAGATGTTAACTCCCTCGCCTGGTATACAGAAGGTCGTGGGTTGGATACCGACCCTGACACCTGCTGTATATTTGGAGTTTGCGTCTCTATCTCTCTCTCCGTGGTTGCGTGGATTTTTCTCCGGGTCCTCCGTTTTCTTTCCTTCCACATTTATAATCAACGTCACCACACATTGAGAGCAATTGGCTTCCGCTATACATTTCCACACGGTGGTAATGATAAGGCCACTTCGTTGAGCAATGATTTGAGATGGCCAGGTTGCTTTTGAACAAGAATAGTTACACAGCAGCTCAGTGGTGGTGCCTTTAACAGCATAACAATAGGCTGCAGCCCTTCTGGAAATAAAACACATACTGGTGGTGAACATGCAAAAACAACATGCTCTGATAATGTGGCATTGCCTTTGAAACTGATTGGTCTACACCAGAGAGAACAGCCTTCTTTCGGGCCTAGTCCTCAATACTGGGTCTCACCACCAGTTGTTCGCCACTAGTGTCTCACGACCAGTATCTCATTACCTGTCTCACCACCAGTGTCTCACAACCTGTGTCTCGCCACCAGCGTCTCGCACCAGCGTCTCACCACCAGCGTCTCACAACCAGCGTCTCACAACCTGCATCTCACCACCAGTGTCTCACCACCAGTGTCTCACCACCAGTGTCTCACCACCAGTGTCTCATTACCTGTATCTCACTACCTGTCTCACTACCAGTGTCTCACCACCAGTGTCTCATTACCTGTATCTCACTACCTGTCTCACCACCAGTGTCTCACCACCAGTGTCTCACCACCAGTGTCTCACCACCAGTGTCTCACCACCAGTGTCTCACCACCAGTGTCTCACCACCAGTGTCTCACTACCCAGTGTTAGATGGATAAACGCAAAAAGGCGAACAACTCCCCCAAGTTTTAACGCAATTCGGTATTCTTGGGTCTTTCGGTAAATTAACGTACTGTAGATAGGTTCAAAGAAAATATAAAAAAAATAACAGGAAGACGACCGCTTGCGTTGCGATCAAAACGTCGTGGTTTTCTGTTATTTTTTATTATTTTCTTTGAACCTATCTACGTGACTTTACCGAAAGACCCAAGAATATGAATTCCTGCAGTCACAAAAGCTTTAAGTCAAGCATTCGGCAGTTTAACGAACCATTTATACATTTCCGCGATCTAACACCCAAGCAAAAATAAACCTCCGTGGTGGAAAATGGCGGTCTTGGAAGCCCCGACTGCTGCTGCCACCACCGAGCGTTAGGCGCTCCGATTGCGACGCCTCTGAGTACCGGCCCCCGTCTCTTCCTCCGCCTCCTAGGTCCGCAAGGAACAGCTCAACTACCGCTATGAGGTGCAGAAGATGATCGGCGAGGGAGGCCAGGGCCTGGTGCTGCAGTGCCGCGACCACAAAACCAAAACGCTCGTGGCCGTCAAGATGCTGTCCGCTGCCCTTGTGGTGAGTCAGAGGGCCTTCGTGGTGGCCCGCACTCTCGGAAAATAATCATCAATGATTGGAGTTAAAGCCGTGAAACTGCCAGTAACTATGGACTCGCTGACAAAATACTAACTGCCGCAAAACTTCTGCTAACTATAAACTAACAAAATACTAACTGCCGTAAAACTACTGCTAAATATGAACAAACTAAAAAAGATACTAACTGCCATAAAACTGCTGCTAAATACGAACCAACAAATGTTTAACTGTCGTAATACTTACTGCTAACTATGAACTTGCTCACCAAATAATAACCTGCCGTGAGACGACTGCTATGAACTAAAGTTAACTTCAAAATAATAACTACCGTGCAACTGTTGCTAACTCTAAGCTAAAAACTAACAGACCCATAGAGACGCACAGAGACCCATAGAGACGAACAAAGACACCCAGACCCTGAGAGACCCACAGAGGCCCACAGCAACACCCAGACCCTGAGAGACCCACAGAGACACCCACAGCGACACCCAGACCCTTAGAAATCCACAGAGACACCCAGACCCTGAGAGACCCAAGAGACACCCAAACAAATAGAGACCCTTAAAGAACCACATAAACACCCAGACCCTTAGAGACCCACAGAGGCACACAAAAACACCAGACCCATAGAGAGCCACAGATATCCACAGAGTAACCCACAGAGGCACCCCAGAGACAACCACAGAGACCTATAGAGTCACCCACGGAGACCCCACAAAGACCCCCACAGAGTCACCCACAGAGACCCCACAGGGTCACCTACAGAGAAACCCACAGAGACCCCCACAGAGACCCCCACAGTCACCCAAAGACCCGCACAATCACCCACAGAGTACACCCACAGAGACCCCCACAGGGTCACCTACAGAGAAACCCACAGAGACCCCCACAGAGACCCCCACAGTCACCCAAAGACCCGCACAATCACCCACAGAGACCCCCACAGAGTCACCCACAGAGACCCCCACAGATTCACCCACAGAGACCCCCATAGAGTCACCACAGAGACCCCCACACAGACCCCCACAGAGACCCCTACAGAGACCCCCAAAGAGACCCCCACAGAGAGCCCCACAGAGACCCCACTGAGACCCCCACAGAGACCCCCACAGAGTCACCCACAGAGTCAACCACAGAGACACCCACAGAGACCCCCACACAGACCCCCACAGAGACACCCACACAGAGTCACCCACAGAGTCACCCACAGAGTCACCCACACAGAGTCACCCACAGAGACACCCACAGAGTCACCCACAGAGACACCCACACAGAGTCACCCACAGAGACACCCACACAGAGTCACCCACAGAGTCACGCACAGAGACCCTCACAGAGTCACCCAAAGAGTCACCCTCACAGAGTCACCCACACAGAGTCACCCACACAGAGACACCAACAGAGTCACCCACACAGTGTCACCCACACAGAGTCACCCACACAGACGCACCCACACAGAGTCACCGTTGATTTCGTGGCCTTCCCCCTCCCGCTGCCCAGCTCCTCGACAGCGGCCCGCCAGAGGACGGAGCTGGAGGTGGCCAAGGAGCTGCAGGGCAGGGACAGCGATGAGCGCTACGGAGTCATCCGGGTCCTGGACACGTTCGAATTCCGCGGCCACAATTGCCTCGTCGTCGAGCTCTTGAAGTACGTGAACCTTCCCACCCCCCCCCACCACCCACCCACGTGCGTCTCCATTGCTCCGTTCGATAGTTGATTTATTTCGGAATTAATATTTATTTAATATTTGATCAAGCAACTAGATTTATCGATTTATCACATTTATTAATTGAGTTTTACACGCAGGGCTTTTGCGACCATTATAATCCATAATAGAGGTATTTTTGGGTTAGATCGCTTAAAAATATAAATGTTGCGTCGTTAAACCCGCCACGACCCGACACAGCCAACTAGTAAGGGTTGTCACGCAAACAGAACGTGCCAATTCGTTACTAGTACAGCACTAGTGTGTAGTGTATAGTAGTGTAGTGTATAGTGTAGTGTATAGTGTAGTATAATGGTACAGCACAACGGTGTGTTGGACAGCCAAGCCACAACATTTGCAATCTCTGAGTACGACGTTTCGCTAGTAATTACAACCAGCTTCATCAGGCGAAAGTCAGATTTTGTGGAGAATTCCACCTGTTCCGTTCCTTATAAAGAGGCACAGATGTGGTGACCACACTTCTGTGCGGCAAAGTTGGGTGGGGGATTAATTTTCTAATTTGTTCCCCAATAGCTTTATTTAATAACTTTCATAATAAACTTATTTTGCAGTTTATTTAGTGAGTTTAAAGATAATTAACAATTCATCAAAATAGTCTCGCCTCGTTAAATGAATTAATTTAATCGAAGACGTAACTTATTTAATTGCTATTTTGGTAATTAATTTATGCAATAATTCATCTGACAATTTTACAATCACAATTTGTTTGGCAACCGAGTCTCCAAAGCTCTGGGAAGTCGAGCAGCACGCGTCCACGTGGCCCCCGTGGGTCAAGCAGCTCAGCACGGCGAACCGCTGCGTTATCGACAATCGCAGAACACCGTGGGGACAAAGCAGACGCAGGAAGTCCCCCGGGTTGTGGAAGACGCGACTCACGGAAACGTTCCCCATGAATCACACATTCTAATTTTTTTTATGATAATCATAATCTACATGTGGAAAAAGGGAATTTGTGAATTTGTGTCTGTTTGAAATGTTTATGCAACAAACTTGAAATTTGGCATGTGGGTAGCTTCCAGACTGTACACAATGCAAAAAGTCTAAAAATAGACTTTTGTATTTTGGGGGGGGGGGATGGCGGAATAATGCATGTAATACATTGCACGGCAAGTGAGTGGTGACGTCACATCTGTGATGTCACCCGCATGCGGCAGCGTCACGCAGTGTGCCTGCTGACGTCACGCATCCCCCCCCCCCCCCAACCCCCGCGTAGGCTGTGTATCCCGCACAAAAGCGCTGCATAGCTGCCTACATTTTCTAAGTCAACGCGACGAATTTCAGCTCGCTCCTAAATAGGAAGCAGAAAATCCATCTGTTTGTGTGAAGCAGCAAAACTCTCGAACGCTGAGTTCTGACGTCGTGAAATTTGCACAGCTTACGCTGTCTGGAATTTCTAAGGGAACGCGACTATATTCAGCTCGCCACGTCATTCCCTTCCCGAGTTGCCTAAATCGACCTTACGTAGAAGTGGGTTTAAAGTTGAATTTCCTTCAGTGAAAAACATCCGATTTAGTGAAATTGATTTGTTTAGGATTTTTCTTTCTTGCAAGCATCAACCTTTTTTCAGGGTTTTCCAGTGAAATCTTTATATATACAGCAAAAGGGAAATTTGTGGATATGTGTGTCTGTTCGAAATGTTTAGCATACTTCCCAACATGCTACAAACTTTAAATTTGGCATGTGGGTAGCTTCCGTGTGAAGAACGGGTACACATTCTAGTAATATATATTAATAAGCTATTTTTTTAAAATAATAAAATAACACGATATTAATAGGTTAATAATAATGAAAAAATTATAATGAACAATAAGATTCCAAAATAATAAGGAAATTATAATGAAATAATAATACAAATATATTGCTAATAAAATTTTTAATAATTTTTTTAATTAAGAAATATTGATAAAGTAATAATAAAAAATATTATTGTTAAATTGTGATATGATAGTAATAAAATGATAGTAATGAAATAATAAAATAGAAATTGTAATAAGAACATAATCACGGTGAAATTAGAATGAAATCATAATGAAATTATTATCATTAAATATTTCACCCGCGGCAATGTTTTGTGCGCGTTAGTTCCCTCGGCGCTAGTGCAGCGCGGCGACGACGCGAATGAATACCGCAGAGCGACGAGGAGTTCCCTGACCTCCCCCCCCCCGCCAAAACTAACCAAGTGGCACAGTCGGTTTGGGGTCCGGGTTGTGGGTCGCCCTGCGGACGTTAGCGGAACGGGAAAGGGGTTTTAACGTCGTCGTCGTCCTTGTCGTGCCAGGAAGAGCCTCTACGATGTCATGAGCAAAGGGAGCATCAGGCGAATCTACGTGAGGCGGTTGAGGGAGTACACCAGGGCCATCCTCAACTTCCTGTTGTACGCCAAGGGGCGGGGCATCATCCACGGGGACATCAAGCCGGTGAGCGGAGCGGGCGCGGTGGTCGCGCCCTCTCGTTGGGGCGCTCGGTTAGCTGGCGCGGAGGCAGCCCGGCCACTGTTGATCGCGGGGTCGAAGCGGTGGCTCTGTCCATCTGGAGGGAGGTGGTGGTAGTGGTGGTGGTGGGGTCACTTTACCTCCGGTGAAGACGATCTGGGACGAGGTGGACACTCGTACCGTAGAGGCAGGCCGGCCATGGTTGATCGCAGGGTCAATGCGCTGGCTCCGTCCTTCTACTGTGCCTCTGCCACCTCCTCCTTCCAGATGGAGGAGGTAGCAGGAGATGTTAACTACCTCGCCAGGTAGACAGGAGATCGTGCGTTCGATCCCGACCCTGACGCCTGCTGTATGTTTGGAGTCTAAGTCTCTCTCTCCCCGTGGTGGTCACGTAGATTTTACTCCGGTTTTTCCCTCCACGTTCAGAATCAACATCACCAAGCGTTTAGAGTATTTGACCGCTGCTTTAATATTTCCGCGTGATTATGATGATGATATCAGCCCACTTGGTTGAGCTATCGTTTGTGATGGCCAGATCGCTTCTGACAGAACAGCTGCACAGCAGCACAGAGTGGGGCCTTGCACCTAGTAAAGTAAAACATAGCTTAGTTTTAGTTTGGGTCTCTCTATGTCTGTGTGGGTCTCTATGAGTATGGGTATATTTCGGTCTTTATGGGTCTCTATGAGTATAGGGTTCTGGAGGTCTTTATGGGTCTCTATGTGTATGGGTCTCTGTTGGTCTGTGTGGGTCTCGATGAGAATGGGTCTTTGTTGGTCTGTGTAGGTCTCTATGAGAATGGGTCTCTATATCTGTGTGGGTCTTTATGAGTATGGGTCTCTGTGGGTGTGTATGGGTCTCTATGGGCTGTTGAAACATGTGTTTAGAGTGTTTGGCTGCTGCTATAAATGTCCATGCAATGATGATGATGATGCTGATGATGTTATTACGTGATGGCCAGGTCGTTTCTGATATAATAGCTACACAACAGCTCAGTGGGGCCTTACACCCTGGTAGTAACAAAACAAATAGGTTTAGTAGTTTATTAAAACGACTTTGAACGAGTCTCAGGCACATAGCCCATGCCAAAAGTGGGAGGGGGGGGGCTGCCTGTGTGGGTGTAAATGCGTCACTTTGCGTGATCGACCCACTGCTGGCTGGACACTCTTGCCGTAACCTCAGAGCGTGGAATTCCTTCTCTGTCTTTCCCCTTTGTCCAGGATAACATTCTGCTCACCGCGGCCGGCAAAGTCAGGGTCACCGACTTCGGGTGCAGCTCCTACCTGAAGCATAAAAGTGAGTGGCTTTGCGTGCGTGGAGTTTCTTTTTTCAGGGTTAGCTCGCGTCAACGTAAACGTTGCGTCGTCAAACCCGCCGCCATCCGACGCAGCCAGTTAGTGAGGTTCAGCGTCACGTAAACAGGACGCTCCAAATCGCCACTTGCACAGCACTAGCCGGTGTGCTTGAGATGTAAACCCACTACGACGTTTACAATTCGAGCGATTACAGCTGAACATCATCATCGGGCGGGCAGCCAGAGTACGCGGTCCAACCCAAAAACTCGCCTCCGCTGTGAAATATCGGTCGCAGAAGCCGACTAGGCATTTAACCGACCGAAAAAAGAAACCTGTTCAACCCACGTCGCTGTTGACGGAGGGGCTACTTTATATTCATCGTCGTTGTTGTTGTTGTTGCTGTGCAGCCCAAAACGTGTGCGGGACGATGCCCTACATGGCCCCTGAGCTGCTGCTGGGCTACTATGTCACCTGCGCTGTGGACATGTGGGCCCTGGGCTGCACCGTGGCCGAGATGGCCACCGGCAAGGAACTCGTTGATTCACGGACCTTCACAGAACACCTGCCCTACTGCATCGAGGTACGGTCGGTGGGTGGGTACGGTGGGTATGGTGGGTGGGTACGGTGGGTATGGTGGGTGGGTGGGTGGGCAGGTCTCTATGGATATGGGTCTCTGTGGGTCTGCACAGAGACCCATACTCATAGAGACCCATGCAGACCCACAGATATCAATACTCATAGAGATTGATTCGTCTGGCGGCCACAAACAACCGGCGAGGAATATCTAACCTGGTCCTGAACCTCTCATAGGTCGACGCAGCCTCAAACGAGTACTTGGTGTAGCGGTATGTAGTAAACATTTCCACTGGGGGAGAAAAAGGTGGCCGGGCGTGGTGCTGGGCACCCACCCCCTTGTGTGCCGTTCCGACCTTCAAAGGTGCTGCTCGCTGCTAACAGCACTTGCCCCAGCAATGAGATGAGGCTAATATAGGGAGGGGGGGATTGTTGTCTTTGTACACAGTGCCGGCCTTCATAAGTGCTGTTCGCGACTAACAGTGCTTGCCCTAGCAATGAGATGAGGCTAATAAGGAGAGGGAGGGATTGTTGTCTTTGTACACAGTGCTGGCCTTCATAGGTGCTGCGCGCGACTAACAGCACTTGCCCCAGCAATCAGATAAGGCTTAGACGTGGACGGGGGGAGGATTGTTGTCTTTGTACAAAGTGCTGGCCTTTATAGGTGCTGCTTGCGATGAATCAGCACTTGCCCCAGCAATGAGATGAGGCTAATACGGGGAAGGGGAGATTGTTGTATTTGTACACAGTGCTGGCCTTCATAGGTGCTGCTCGCTACTAACAGCGCTTGCCCTAGCAATGAGATTAGTCTAATAAGGAGAGGGAGGGATTGTTGTCTTTGTACACAGTGCCGGCCTCGACAGGCGCTGCCTCCACCACTACTCACTGCTGACAGACGGCACTTGCCCCAATGGGCAAGCTGAGGCTACACCGGCTGTAACCCCCCCCTCCTCCTTTTGTCTTTGTCCGAAACCGTGCGCAGATCCTGGGCATGCCCCCGAAAAAGATGGTGGACGAAGCACCTAACAAGACAACTTACTTTGGTGAGTCAAAGGCTCGGGCAGGCTGGCGCCAGCGACGTGACCCATTCCCTTTTGTTAGATGGGGGGGTGGCAGTGAGGCTCTTATAGGGTTCTATTGTGGGGGGGGGGGCTCTGATTATCCCGGAGGTGGGGGGTGGGGTGGGGGTTGGGGATCTTTGTAACAGTCGTTAGGAAGCATAGGTGGGTGGGTGAGTGAGCGGGTGGGTAGGTGGGTGGGTCGGTGAGTGGGTGGGTTACTGAGTGGGAGAGTGGGTATGTAGGTGGGTGAGTGGATATGTAGGTAGGTAGGTGGGCGACTGGATAGGTAGGTGGGTAAGTGCATAGGTGGGTGGGTGAGTTGGTCGGTGTGAGGGTAGGTGGGTAAGTGGGCAGGTGTGTGAGTTGGTGGGTATGTCGGTCTATAGGTAGGTGGGTAGGTAAGTGGATGAGCGGGTATGTGGGCGACGTGGTGGTTGGTGACTCTGCGTGCGTCTCTCTGTCGCTGCAGACCCTGAGGG